TGAGACCCTGTCTCAAAAGACCAACCAAACAAACAAAAAGAACTTGGAGGGAGAGTAGCCCCTGAGGGTCAGAAGTTGGCTGCTGTTGAGAATCACAAGGCCAGAGCCCTGACCCTTTCCCCTGGAACTGAGCCAGGGAAGGTGGAGGTGAGCAGTGTAGTGTCTGCTCCCAAGGTATGGGTGTTCACAGAGCACTTTCCTCAGCGAGGCCAAGAATTACGCCCGCATCTACATGCTGAGTGAGGTGTACGGTGTCACCTCCGCCAGTCTGCTGGCAGATGTAGAGCAGGGCAAGTGGAACTCAGGGAAAGGTGGGGAGTATCCGGTTGTGCCTGTGAGGTCACCGCCCCGTCCTCAGGCTTCTTCCTGCTTCCATAGAATTGCAGCTGGCTCTAGCTCCTGGCTTATTTAAGTGGCAGGAGAGTTGTACACCCAGATCAGGGATGTGTGGCCTCAGGTCAGGGCACTAATTCATGATGAATGGTTTCTCCTGGGGATTCAGAACTCTCATTGGAGTAAAAGGAAAGGGGTTGGGGTGAGGGAGGATGGGACCACTTCATCGCCTGGGAGTTTTCTGGCACCGATGCTGTACCTGAGCTTGCTTTCTGCGTGATGGTTTTACTCCTTCTTCTGGAAACCTTTGGAGAGAATCAGACTATATCAAAAGTATAAGTGTAAAAAAGGACAAAATCACTGGGGAGCATATAGATGGGAGAGAACTTTTGGAGAGGGTGGATTTGCATTGGATCTGACAGAAGTGGGTATGGCAAAGCACATACTCAACCCCTTTCTATTAAGGAAGAGCAGCTGTCCCATAGGAATGCTTTGGGTTAGAGCGTGTGGCCACCCAGTCCGGGTGCATCCAGTTAGTGTCAGGAGAATGCACGCCCTTTGCTCTTGTCAGCATGGACACTCACAAAGCCTTCCCTGGAGATGACCTCATGCCAGCATCCTGACAAAGGTGCTAGTATTAGACCATCTGCCGCTCGGGGAGGGTGAGTGGGCTGGGCTAGGCCGGCTGCACCGAGGCTGTGGCACCAGCACTGCATCCAAACCCTGTACTACTGGGTGTAGTGAACATGTGAAACACAGAACTTGAGACCCCACAAAAACTGAGTGAAGCTGAGTGTTAAGACAGATAAGAGTTTGCTGTGACATGTGTGGAATTTCCTCCAAGACGTTTGCCGTGATAAGACGTTTGCTGTGACGTGTGTGGAATTCCCCCTGAAGTGATTAAAGTTTGAAGTGATGTAATGGAGAGTGTTGAGGCGTTAACTCAGATAGAACATATGGATGTATTAGATAGAGATAAGTTAAGGTATAAAAGGAGAAGACTACAGACAGACATCGTCCCTTGACGACCCCGTCAAGATGACCAGCTGAAGCTCTGCCCGAGACGCAGACATTTAGTTCCAGATCCTGACTGCCGAGCCAAGGATCAGCTCTGCTGAGCCGAGAGAACGAAACCATCTCGAGACCATCATCGACACTGAAGTCGCGGCTCGACCCTGCGAAGCCGAGGACCGGACCACGAACTCCAGGTCGTATGCCCTCATCACCAACATGCTAGGACTTATGACTATCCTAGAAATATTATGGGCTGGCATTACTTTTATATTGCGCAGGCAATTATAGTTGTATCCTTGTGTGTGTTTGTAGTGTTTGTGTGAGTAAAGCAAATATGAAAACCCAACTGAATTGGCAATCATTGATGTCTTCAACCCGTGATCCCGAAATGCAAATCGGTGCTCGCGACACTGGGCAAGTTGCTTGGCCCTGCTGAGCCTCCATTTCCCTTAGAAGTGCATTGTAAGCCGGAAGTAGCTTGAGATGTGTGGGTGGAGATGCCATTGCCAAGTTGCTGGTTACCTGGCTATTGGGTTCTGAGCCTGAAGTTGAATCGCGATTGTTCTTGCTGTGTATCTGTGCCTTGGGTCTTATTTGTGGGTATTCATCAGTGCCGTGGTTCGCCTTCTTCCGATAAATGGGCTGTAACACAACCAAGATGGAGTCTGTTTAACCAGACACTGGGCAAATGGAAATGTGCTGTGTTTCATTGTCTCAGAGCAGACTGAAATGCTTCTATGCAAATAATATCATCTTCAGTTCCCCTTGAATCTGTTCATTTGTTCATGTGCATGTTGATTTCTACAAGATCAAGCCTGTGAACTTGATCTGTGTGGCAGTGATCTCCACATTTTCAGTGTTACAGACCTTGTTAAGAATGTAGTAAAACTATAGTCCCTTTCCCCCAGGAAATAGTTTTGTTTTATTGAACTGTTTCAAATTAAATTGTAGCCATAAATCTCTAAATATGGCATCATCCATTGCCAAAAAATACAGATATTCCCTCATAAATAACCTCAATAAGTACTGTTAGGAAAATAATTTTTTAATGTGATGTAATAGCCACTCCATTTTAAATTGTCTCCTAATAGGCCCCAAACAGTTTTCATAGTTTTTTTTTTTTAAGCCAGGATCTAGCCAAAATTTATCTTTTGTGTTTGGTTTTCTTTTATGACATTGAGTTTTTAAAAAAACCAGGACAGTTTTTGTGGGAATTTCCCACATTCTGGATTTACCTGTTGTTTTCTCGTTGTGTGGTTTGACTCTTCTATCAGCAGTTTCTCTGTGGTAACAAACTACAGTGTTCCTTAAAAATATGATTACCTTTATATATTATATTTCTGTAAGCTGGAAGTTAGATCTAAATGTTTTATTAGCTTCCTTCAAGTCAAACATTTTTGGCAAGAAAACTTCATTGGTGAAATTGTAATTCATATGGAGCCTCATCAGAAAGCATAGCCTGTTTGCTGTCTGGGAATGATGCAGAGATGCTGGGTCTGGTCCCTTGGGTAGTGACCAGTAGGTTCCCCTCATCAAGGCACGTTGGGAAGTCATCTACTGGGCACCAGAAGGTCATCCCATCCATCTGAACCTTTTGCTTAATGGGTGATCCTTGTGGCAGCTGCAAATGGTGACTGACCTTTCTTTTTATTCCTCTGTTCTTTTTTTGTGGGGGTGTTTTGAGACAGGGTCTCACTATACAGTTGAGACTGACCTGGAACTCGCTATGTTGCCCAGGCTGGTCTCAAACTCACAGCAGTCTTCCTGCCTCAGCCTCCCAAGTGCTGGGATTACAGGCGTGCGCCACCACGCCTGGCTCTTCCTCTGTCCTTTATTTTTTTTTTGAGCCTGGGCCTAAGTTAAGGTCAGCTCAAAGGTGGCATATCTTATGTGGAAGGAAACTGTAGCTAAGCTCTCATAGGCCTTTTATTCCAGCAGATTGCAAAATTAATTCCCACCCACAAAGAAAAACTTTCTGTTTCCCAACAGTAAAACAACTCAACTTTAAAACTTCTATAGGCCATTCAGCAAAGTAGTGTGAACAGGGGCTCCCGAGCCCACTGGCTCACCCAGTACCACTTCCTTGTCCTCTTTCCAAACCCTTTGCATCATATCACAGCTGAAAAGGGTGCAGGGCAGGCTTGTTTCTGCCAAAGTGAAGCCAGGGAAATGGACTGTCCACTTCTGTCATTTCTGCCTGCCTCACTAACTCTCTAGGGACTTGACGTTAGCTTCATTTGCACCTTCATTTGAGCTTTGTAGGTACATGCTTTTCCATACCATTACATTTCTTGAAATCATACATGTGTCTGTAAATCCATGTCTGCTGCTACTTGGAATTTATTACCAGTCCAGTAGTATGATAAATCATTACATACGTGTAGTACTTTCACTCAATAAAGCACTGTTTTGTTTTGTTGGAGACAGAGTCTCACTGTGTATTCCAGGCTAGCCTTGAACTCTCTCTGTAGCCCAGGCTGGACTTGAAGTCATGGTGATCCACCTGCCTCAGCCTCCCAGGTGCTAGGTATATAGATGTAACCTACCACACCCAGCTCAGATAAAGCACTCTTAAGGTACTATCACAGTTCATTCTCAACCAGTAGATACCATATACTTCTTTAGGTTTTGTACCATTAGTAATGCTACTGGTGCACTGCCCTTGGTTGGGAGGGACTTTGGTTGTATATACCAGTAGAGGTATTGATTTGCCTGTGGTCCCAGGTGCTTCACCCAGCCTTGCAGCTACCTGTGTGCCTGCTGGCTATGTTCCGAGCAACTGCCCTTGTTATCTCTTTGGTCTGCAGCAGAGCACGTGCCCTTCCTGTCCCACCAGGATCTTGTTTACTGTGACTGGCACACATGTCGCACTGTGACCAGCTCTGCTCACTTACTCTCTGCCACTTTCAATTTCACCTTTTTTGTGTGATTTGAACACTTGCTGGATTTAGGAACTGAATCTGGGTTTTTTGTTAGATGTCCTTCTGTGTAGCAGGCTTATGCTTAGTTTTCAACATAATTCATTCATATAACCTACCTTAGAAACCCTTGAAGGTAAGTATATTTTCCCCATTTTATGTGTGGGTAAACTGAGGCTCCCAGAGTCCTGAGTTGACTTGGCTATTGACACAGCTTTTGGATCAGATGTGCTGCCCCTTGTAACCTCAGACAGGAAGTGGCTCAGGCTGCAGAAGTTAGCAGGAGCACATTCCTTTCTGGAACTGACCTTCCATGCTCCCTGGCAGGGCTCTCCCTCTGCAGTACAGCCTTTATGGCCATTTCCCTAGAGAGCTCAGCGGTCACAGTCCTCCCTTGTTAGCAGAACAGCCAGGCCAGCCCAACAAGGAGTCGCAGCTGAGAATGAATCCAGCATGGCTGGTCGTGACCTGCTGACTTCTGAGTTTAAGTACGGGTCCAGTTTCCTAGGGGAAGTGAACCGAGCCCAACCACAGGACAGCTCAGGAAGCCACTCCTGCAGGGAGGTAGCACTGAGACTCTTAGTACCGCCTGGTGCTTCCTGAGCTATGGTAGAGAACCTACCTCAGTGCTCTTAGTCCAGTGATGGCGAACCTTTCAGAGCTTTTGATGATAACACTCAGCCAGCTGTGGCACATGTGCCATAGGTTCACCACCACGTTCTTCGTCCTTCACAGCTGAAACCTAGAAGAGCAAACCAAAGGGGGCTCTTGACCGTCAGGACTCGCTTGTGTGCCACACAGCAGAAGGAGTTCCATGCACGCAATAGGCATTGTGAGTTTATGCATTTGTTACGCCCGTCCTCTAGAAGTAGCGAGTGACCCCTGTGTCACAGTGGGTGCATCAGAGCCTCTTTCCAGCAGATGGGAGGAGTGTTGAGGCAGGACCACTGGCCCTGCTCTTCACTGCTGGGCCCCTCTCTCTCTGTGCCTTGGGTTTCATCTGTGGATTGGGAGGGTCCCCTCTGCTCTGATGCCTGTGGGTCCGCGGGTGGAGTGCTGGAGCTGCAGCCCCGTGCTCAGCTGCCCCCTGTGCCTTTGCTGGGCCTACCCTTGACTCCATGTCTGTTCTCCAAGGAGGAGCAGCCCCACCGCTGAGCAGAGGCTCCACTGACTCAGGCACGATGGCCACATCAGCCCCGCTGCGGAGCCTGGAGGAGGAGGTGACCTGCTCCATCTGCCTTGACTACCTGCGGGACCCCGTGACCATTGACTGCGGCCACGTGTTCTGCCGCAGCTGTACCACCGATGTGCGCCCCGTTTCGGGGGGCCGCCCTGTCTGCCCACTTTGCAAGAAGCCTTTCAAGAAGGAAAACATCCGGCCTGTGTGGCAGCTGGCCAGCCTGGTGGAGAACATCGAGAGGCTAAAGGTGGACAAGGCCAGGCAGCCGGGAGATGTGGCCCGGGAGCAGCAGGATGCAAAGCTGTGTGAGCGGCATCAGGAGAAGCTGCACTACTACTGCGAAGACGACGGAAAGCTGTTGTGTGTGATGTGCCGGGAGTCACGGGAGCACCGGCCGCACACGGCTGTCCTGGTGGAGAAGGCCGCCCAGCCCCACAGGGTAAGCCCGCCTCAGCCCCGAGGCTGCCCGGCGCCCGTCTCATGCCTGCCTCAGGATGCTCTGTCCTGGTATCCCCATAAGTGAGGCCTGGCTAAGCCCCCACAAGGGTTCTTCTGGCTGAAGAATTGGCCTTCATCCTCCTCCCTGCTGCCCTAGTCCAGAGCTTGCATCTGTCCTCTGCTTGTCTTTCCCCAGGAAAAAATACTGAACCACTTGAGTACTCTAAGGAGAGACAGAGACAAAATTCAGGGCTTTCAGGTGAAAGGAGAAGCTGATATCCTGGCTGCGCTGGTAAGTGGCCCAGAGGAAGTGCGAGCAGTTCCCCTGTGTGGTCAGGGGGCGCTCGGGAGTCAGTGGCCACAGGTGATGTTTGTGCTCCAGAGTAGCTCTGGGAGGTATTGGCCTGGCAGCCAGCACCCTGGGCTTTAGCCAGAGGTCTGTCTGTCTGTGAGCCAGCTGCGGGCCTGTTTCCCAGCTGGCCGGGGAGTGTGGGTATCGCTGTGGCTCATTTCAGCCTCAGGGACTGTGTCTGGCCGCTGTAGCTTTTCTGCCTATGGCCCAGCTCCATGCTCCCTTTCAAAGTGGGAAGGATGTGGTTTCCCAAGAGTGGAGGTCGGTCAGAGGATTTGAAAGCGGGGAGCCAGATGTGGAGAGGTGATGTCAGAAATACCATGAGTTCCAGGAGCGCTGCGGGCCCTGTGGCATGGCTACCCGGACTCGGAGGGGGAGGTGGAGGCAGGAAAGGACATGTTTCTGCGCACACTCGACCCAGGTTCACCGAGAAGTCGGGCTACAATCCTGAGGGGCAGAGACGAACAGGGTGCACGTAAATGTTTTACACATAATTCTAAGGTACTAAAGGAAGGATCGGTCAGTGCAGGGGCTCACATTGACCAACAGGAACAGGTACCACTCTTGATCTTAGCCAAAAGGCCAAGAAGTAATGAGTAGAGCTTCCTGGAAGAGGCAGCACCCAGAGATTTTATCCAGGAGGGAAACGTGTGTTGGCTCATGAGGGGCACAGGATTCCTCCTAGGGCCTGGACATTCTAGTTTACCTAGGACAGGCAGTGGCTGAGCAGACAGGCATTTGGTTCTGACCTCAAGAAGGAGTGAACAGGGCTGACGGACTAGTCAGGGCCTCTGAGAAGAGCAGGGTGAGCCTGGAACACCTGATGGCTTCTCCCACCTCACGAGCCATCGAATTCCTGAGAAAGAGCCAGGCTGTGTGTGTGTTGCTAGCGCTGAATCCAGAGAGTGCTACCCTGTCCCCTCCTGGCCCGCAGACAAAGCTGCAGGAGCAGAGGCAGTACATCGTGGCAGAATTCAAGCAGGGCCACCAGTTCCTGAAGAAGCGGGAGCAGCATCTGCTGGACCAGCTGGCCACCCTTGAGCAGCTGCTCACAGAGGGCAGGGAGAAGTTCAAGACCCGGGGTGTCGGGGAGCTCGCCCGGCTGGGTCTGGTCATCTCTGAGCTGGAGGGCAAGGCCCAGCAGCCAGCTGCAGAGCTCATGCAGGTGAGAGGCCTTGCCTGGGGGAAGCTGGGAGGCGGAGGGTCGCCACATTCTGGCCCCTAGGCCGTTCTGGGACCTTGTGAAATCCCTTCCTCTTGGGGCCTGTTCTGTCATCCGAAGCGTGTAACAGTACTCTTAGCTTCACCTACCAAAGGTTATGTGAACATAAGATAACTGATGTGTCACTTCAGAAGTTAAATTGTCTGTACAGAGTGTTTAAACATTAAAACGAGCTGTAGAGATGGAAGGGTTACTGTGCTCAGCCTTCCTCCCTCCCGCCATGGGCCCTCCTGGGACAGCTCGCCGGCAGATTCGCGTTTGGTGAGAGTGTGATACAGTTCTAGAGATGAGGAGTGGTGCCATGGCCAGGTGGCAGAGAGGCCTGTCTGGAGGTGAAGGGAGACAGAAATGGTGGGGTTTTCTCCGAGGCCGTGGAATGAATCCCCAGGGAACTGGGTGGTGAGCAGGTGAGATGCCGGGAGTGCTTCCTGGAGGAGGTGGCTCCTCCTGTCAGCCAGCACTTGGCCCAGGCTCAGCAGCCTTTGGAGGGGTGGGAGCTCTAGCTTTCCATCCCGAGTAGCCTGGGGAGGGGCTGACTGTCTCAGCAACGCGCACAGTTGAGGTGTTTGGGCCTGCCGGTCGTCAGTGAAGCCACCGGCATCTCTAGGAAAATCAGGTCCCCAGCCAGTGTCAGGGCATAGTGACGGCTGGGAAAGCAGAGCGGCCGTGCAGGCTGTGTGATGAGGCGCGGCGCCTCCTGCTCCAGTGTGCACGAGGGCCAGAGTGCAGGAGGATCTTTCCCAGGGGTGGGGAGATTGGGAACTGCAGCCCAGGCACCCCAACTCCCCAGGCCCTCTGCTCCTCCTGTTTTCTCTGGTTTGGTCTGACATGTCTCTGGCCCCTGCTCTTCTCCAGCTGTGACTCGGTTCCCTCAGTTCCTCCTTCAGACTCTGCATGGGTCCCTGCTGCCTCTCCCTTGTCCTGCTCGCTCTCCTCCTTCCCCTTCGGGGAGATGCACCCTTTGACACCCTCTCGGGGAGCACAGTTTTTCTTCTCTGAGCAGAGGCGCCTGGCTGGACCCCTGGGTGGGGCTGAGATCCTTGTGTTTGCCCAGAGTGGAGGAGACAGGACTCAGCTGCTTAGATAAAACAGTTCGAAACATTGGTGCTGGTGGGCTGTGTGTGATTGTTTGGGTTTTATTTAGCTACAAACTGGACAACTAGCTCCATAATTATTGTTTATATTTGGCTGTCAAGGCACAGCAAGAAAGACCCAAAATAGGGTCCTAAAATCTGAGAGAAACAAAGGTGAGCTGGAAAAGCAAAAAGCAATGTGAGGAAAGCGAAGACCTTTGATAAAGGGGATGGACGGGAGAGAGGCCCACTGGGCTGCGGTGAGGACGGTGCTCAGGGTGATAGCGGTGTGTGCCTCCCTCCCAGGCCACCTCGCTGCTCCACCCCATGGCCAGGCTCCACAGCGGGTGAGAGAGGTCCTCCCGGAGTGTGGCAGCCGCTTCCCCACGTGGGCCGGGATGGGACGCCCAGGCCCGCCCCTTCCCCTGACAGGGCTGTGCTCTCTGCACTTCTTAGAACCTTCAACCCTGAGGTGACGCTCCTCTCTCCTGTTCTGTTCCCTGTTGTAGCAACTCCCGTGTCACAGTGTGTGTGCCCCACCCCACCCCGGCCGCCGAAAGACATTGAAACATTGGCTGTGAGCTCCGCAGCCAGGCTGGGCAGTTGCTTCGCTGTAGGGGCGGGATGTAGCTGAAGCTCTGACTTGGCCTCACTTCCTCGGGAGAAAGCCCTGTGGTCAGGCCTTCCTGAGCCTCCTGGCGTAGTCCTTAGCAGACACAACTTGGTGATTCCTTTAGTTTCCCAAATCCCACCCTTCACCAGGACGCCAGCCTGCCCCCTGCTTCACGCTACTCTCTTTTCTCCATGGCGCTTACCACTAACATGGTTTGATATTTGTTACGGTGATTGTTCCTCTGCTACAGTGTCAGCTCTGTCCAGGCTGGGTTATGTCATTTCTTCTTCTGCGGCTCCCTTCCAAGCTTCTCCACTAGTGCCTGATGCGTAGGAAACAGGAAAGATTGTACAGCGAGTAAAAGGAAGACAACTTAAACCAGTACCATAAAGGCTTGGGACTTAAGGAGAGGATCTAAGCAGCGCTTTGCAAGAACCCCTTCCCACCTGCCCTGTCCCCCAGCCGTGTTGCCGTCACGTGGCTAGCTCACTGTCCTTCCTGTTCAGGCCGGGGCAGTCCTCGGTTGTCCTTGGCCAGCCGGCTGCTTCAGTCTGTCTAGGACTTCCCAGGATGCGCAGCTCCCCTCCTGCCTCTGCTGCCGCCGTCGTGGCTCAGGCTGTCTGTCCCTCCCTGGTCCCCAGCAGCTGCCCAGGTGGCCTCCTCCCCCTGTTCTCAGGACAGCTGGGTAACTTAGGTTTTGGTTCAGTGCTGACTGCTAGCTCAAGTAAAACAAGTCTGGTTCTGTCTCAGTTCGTGGGGAGGAGTCCAGAGAGTTCCGTGAGGTCATCCGGGGAGCTGGGTTACTTCATCTGTTATGACCGGCCTTGTCCTCAGCTGCGTGCTCACCTCTACGTCCAAAATTCAGCTGGGGAGAAAAGAACCAGAAGGCAGTTTATTTTTCTTTCCTTCCCTTCTTCCTTTTTTCTTTTTCCTTTCCTTCTCTACCTTCCCTCTACCTCTCTGCCCCCCTTTTTCCTGACAAAGTCCAGAAATAGCCCTTGTTTTCTTTCACACTGCACTTGCTGGAACTTAGTTACACGACCAGTCCGGGGCAGTGTAGTTCCAGGGTGGCCATGTGCCCAGCTCTAACTTCCAGGGGTTCTCTCCTTGAAAGTAGGAGAGGGTGGGTTCTGGAGGGGCCTTGACTGTCTAGGCCTTGTGTAAAGCTGATTGGAACAAAATTCACAGCCCTACCCCGTATGACCTGACCCGTCCTCGCATGGGCCCTGCGTCCTTCACACCCTTTCCTGCCAGTCTTGCTGGCAGGTACTTTTTCCTGCTTTAATTAAGCCTTAGCTCCGGCTTCTGCTTGGAGATTCTGGCCCTGGCATTTCCACACCAGCTGCTCCTGTCACTGATGAATTCGCTGCTGTCGTTCTGTCCAGTGCCCTGGTAGAGTGTCCGCTGTCTAAGGAAGGGCCCCGAGGGCTCCGCTAACTGCTGTCCCCTCTAGGCCACGCGGGTTGCATGCGAGTGCAGCCTTACTCAGTTCGTGTTGATGCTGTGCTCTCTTCCTTCCAGGACACCAGAGACTTCGTGAACAGGTAAGAGCTTCCTCTCCACAGTGAACCCGATCCTCGACCTCTTCCCCTTCCTGGACCGTGATCATGTGAATGAATGAGGAGCTGTGGTACCAGAGGTCCCCGTGTGCCCTGGTTCCTCGCGATGGCTTCTGGGAAGCAGGAGCACGTCCTTGCGTACTGGAGACTGCTCGCCCCGCACGTGTTCTCTGTGTGATCCCAGGTCCTGGGCCGCTCTCCTGTCTGAGGAAGGGGGGTGTCGGGGTAGAAACCTGCTGGGCAGACAAAGGCGCTCACAGGAGTCTGGGGGTCCTCAGACCTGGCTCAGCCGGTGTCTGTTTTGCTGCCTCTTGATGGGAGGTCATCAGACCTTTCCTGCCTCTTTTGGTCTCAAAGATTGAGAGAAAAACAAGAGTCATTTAACAGGTTGCTGTCTCTGTCGTCATCTCAGGTATCCACGGAAGAAGTTCTGGCTTGGAAAACCCATCCCTCACATGGTTAAAAGAAAGACTGGAGAATTCTCAGATAAAGTCCTCTCACTGCAGCGAGGCCTGAGGGAATTCCAGGGTAAGGGTTGGACAGCACCAGGGTCAGAGTCAGCAGGGGCCCCCACGCAGAGAGAGGGCACCCAGCTGACCTCGCACTTCCAGGGTCTCCTGATTGTTGTCCCTTTCCTTCTTGGGGTCTCGGAGATGAAGCCCTATCAGGAAATCCTGCCATCCAGTAAGAAACCGGCCATCATTTTCTGGGCTTAAAAGTCCTCACAGTTTCTTTTCTCCCTAGGAAAGCTGCTGAGGGACTTGGAGTACAAGACAGGTGAGTATTGGGTCGTCCCCAGATTTACCTCGGAGAGAAAACTCCCTCATAGCGATTCTGACTGCACCTATCCCAGCTCTTGTCTTGCAGCAGGGAGAATTTCCCAGCTGTAGACTGGAGGCCCTGACATCCACAGTCTGCTACTCCTTAGTCTTCATCTGGCCTCTGTCCGAGGGTCAGGCCCTTCTCTGCCTGTATACAGCTGCTCTGTCCGTAGCTGCTTTCTCGTTCCCCTGACTTATCTCAGAGCAAACAGCAGTGGCATCCTGCGTCCAGAAGCAGTGCTTTGCTGCCGGGCTGTGCACTGTGTCCCTCCTGGAGACGCTGCTCTGTAGACCAGGATGTGAATAGTGCTTCTTGGGCCGTGTGGCGTGTCAGCCCTGCCCAGGACATGAGACCGGCGGCCACTTTCTGGCCTACCTGTGACACTGGCTTCTGCCCTTGTCCCTGCAGTAAGCGTTACCCTGGACCCGCAGTCGGCCAGTGGCTTCCTGCAGCTGTCGGAGGACTGGACGCGTGTGACCTACAGCAGCCTGTACCAGGGTACCTACCTGTACCCCCAGCAGTTTGACTGTGAGCCAGCTGTGCTGGGCAGCAAGGGCTTCACCTGGGGCAAGGTGTACTGGGAAGTAGAGGTGGAGAGGGAGGGCTGGTCTGAAGATGAGGAGGAGGGGGACGAGGAGGAGGAGGGGGACGAGGAGGAGGAGGAAGAGGAGGCTGGTTATGGGGACGGCTATGAAGACTGGGAAACGGATGAGGATGAGGAATCTCTGGGGGAGGAAGAGGAGGAGGAAGAGGAGGAGGAAGAGGAAGTTCTGGAGAGCTGCCTGGTGGGGGTGGCCAGAGACTCTGTGAAGAGGAAGGGAGACCTCTCCCTGCGGCCGGAGGATGGGGTGTGGGCGCTGCGCCTCTCCTCCTCCAGCATCTGGGCCAACACCAGTCCCGAGATCGAGCTCTTCCCCACTCTGCGGCCCCGGAGGGTGGGCATCGCCCTGGATTACGAGGCGGGCACCGTGAGTTTCACCAACGCAGAGTCGCAGGAACTCATTTACACCTTCTCTGCCACCTTCACGGGGCGCCTGGTCCCCTTCCTGTGGCTCAGGTGGCCGGGAACACGCCTCCTGTTGAGACCCTGAGCCCCGCCGTGGATGCTTCGTTTCTGGGGAATCCAGGACTGGCGGGGAAAGGTGCCTGGCAGAGCGCGTGGAGCAGGGAGAGGCGGACCCTGTGCCCTGCACCCACTGCCCCGCTGGTGGCCCCAGGCCTCTGCGCTGCTCCAGTCAGCTCCTGTCCCTCCTGTGGTTTCCTGTGGGACCTCCTGACCTTGAAGTCCATGAGGACTCGTCTTCCCTTTGGTCCTCTCTGCTGTTGAGAGGGGCTGAGCAGCATTTCCTGGCCCAGGGCAGTCCCTGTGCCGGCCGGTCTTGGGGAGGACGTGGATTACACCCGGTACCATTTTGATGTCCTCAAGCCCCACAGGTTCTCCTTGCCCAAATTCTCTGCCGCCTGCCTTCTCTGGCATTTTAAGCAGACGTGCTCCCACTCCAGCTCGGAATTAAAGATTCATAAAATGTGGAAATATGCAACAACAACAACAAAAAAGTGGAAATATGCTGAATCAGAGTCCACTTTGGCATGGGCACAGCTGCCAGGAGCACTCCTGGGAATCACGTCCTCCTGGGGCTTGGGCTCAGCAGTTTGGTTTCTGTAGTTGGGGACGCCTGGAGCCAACTGTGTTCTTGCAGAGCTGTGTTCTTGAGCACAGCATGTGTGACCACAGTGGTCATTGAGGAGACGTTACCCTGTGGCTGGTCCTGTGAGGGGATCTTTAAGAGTACAGGACGTTTGGCTTTCTACCCATGATCTGTCCAGGGCAAGCGCCAGGAGAGCGCAGCCTCCCCCACCGCAGGGACTCTGCCCAGCTGCTTCAGAGGCGTGGAGCTTGGCGCTGGTCCTGTTCAGGCTCAGGCTCACTTCCTGGGACAGCAGCAGAGAAGAGAAGACGGGGCTGGGCCGGGAGAGGGAAGGGAGGCAGAGGGGTCTGCCGCTTAGCTGTTCTCCTTCAGGCTCAGCCGGCCCAAGCCCCAGTCCTTTGTTCAGGGGCCCCTGGCTCCCCTCGTTTAGTATGAGCTCCACAGTTCAGCCAAAGTGATGTCCCGGTTTCATCCTGACCCATTCCAGGTGCTCCCCCAGGCCCCTGCTTATCCAAGTTTGAACTCTTCTCCCCTTCTCTGAGGGACTGCACCCAGGCACTGTGGGTCTCGGTGGTCTCTTGGCCACCACATTGTCCCCGAGTTGCCTGAATTGTGTTCGTCACATGCTGCCTGAGTCGCACCTGCATCCCGTTTCTGCCTCTAGTTTTGTAAGCTCCTGGGGGGTGGGCACTATCTATTAAAACTTGTATTCTCCATGGCACCTAGCACAGTGCTGGGCACAGAGTAGGTGCGCAATAAAGAGTTGTTGAATGAATGATCTGCAAATATGTATATTTTTAATTACAACGGGGACATCATCTGAGTTCAGTGTGGCTTCAGAGTCCATTGGCACTGACAGCCCAGGTTTTTCCTTTGTTTCTTGGACTACTTTCTGCCCTCCGTGTGTGTGTTGTCCTTTCTGGAAGTCCCAGGAAGGTCCCCTTGTGGACGTGCAGGCACCACTGTGGCTCCGCTTGATTCTTCCTGTTTGACGGTGGCGCCCTGAGCCATTCTAGCCGCCTCGGTGCGCGTGGCCTGTCCTGAGGATGGCAGCGGCTAGAGTCGCACGCGTCTTCCTTTGGATGGCGGTGCCCACAGGAGGTGCCGCCCCGTGTTCATCTCGCCTCCTAACACATTTGACAGCTTAACCACTTCTTGGGTGTTCTTATTTCTTAAATTTCTTAATCCTCTTCAACATAGAAAAGGGAGGGTTGGACAAAACTACCTCAAGACTATAGTAGCAAAGATTATTATTTCCTCCCTCTGCTCCCCTTTGGGGACTCAAAAATTTCCCATTTTTAACGTTTATACTTATTATTGCATGTATGGTCAGCTTTTTCTAGCGTTTATTACAAAAAAGCAGTGCTTACTGTGTTTCACTCCCTAAGAAACCCAGTCCGTCATTTTTTTAACGGGCTACTGGTGTTTACCTTCGTTTTTCCTCAATAACTACCGTTCGAGGCGTTACGCTGTGATTTCCCGCTGCAAGGAAGACCGATTTAGCCTTCCGCGCTCTCACCCCTCACTACGCGGGATCTGTCTGCCGGCCCCGCTCCTCATACTGGGCAGGTAAGCGCTCGGCCTGCCTGTGACTTCGTCCGTGTAGAGGCTGTGTGTGCCAGGCCCCTGCGTGACGTTGTCTACCCTCGTGTCAGCAGTCGCCGTTCCTTTCCATGCCCTTTGCTTCGGTTCCTATGACCTTATTACTGACTGGGTGCTAAACTTCCCCGGTTGCTGGAAATCCCAGGCTGCGTGGCAGTGAGGTGAGTCTGGCCGGATGCAGGCTGCCTGGAATCCCACTGTTGCCCCTCATCTGTGCACAGTGCCTCGCTCTCCCTTCGCTGTCGGACTGGAGGCCTACGTGGGCCCCATCCATTGCTTTGTCTTGCATTTCCTTTAATTTACTTCATTTGGGTGAGGAATCGTCCAGCACTTTCCTGAGAAATGGTGTATGGGAGTTGAAGTTTCCCACTTCGAGGTTCACTCAGGTATCGGGCTTCTGACTAGAAACACTTTTCCTTTCGGGTGTGGAGGGCTTTTCTGCCTTCTCACGGCCCCGGTTGCTGTTGGGCTTCCTGACCCTTCGTCCTTGGCATGTTTCTGTGTTACTGGGTTTGGGATTGTACTGGTTTCTTCCTTTGCTCTCTTCGTGTGCCTCGGCAGGACTGCTCCTCTTCCCCTTTGTGTGCCTTTCATTGTGGAATCTATAAACTTTCAGTCCTGGGAAACTGTTGCGTTATTTCTTGATGATTTTTCCGCCGTTCACTTTCTCAGTTCTCTCACATCTAGGCTCGACTCATCTTGAATCCAGGACGTCCCGTGATGTGCTCGAAGCCTCGGGCACAGTCGTGAAAAGGGTAGCGAAGTACCTGTGCTCTTGAGTTGGGACTGTGTTTCTTGGCAGTGCCAAGCTCCCGAAGCCTAAGCAGAGAAATACTCCGCTGACTGAGAGTGCTGAGCGGCTGTTAGGTACACTCTTAGTACTTAGACTGCGTCCCTTTTTTCGAGGATCTCACGTTACAAAAGGGAATGGTGGAAAACAAAAATAAGCATAGCAAGTGTAAAATCTAGAAAATAAGTGCAATGGGCAAAGAAAAACTTATTTTAAAAATTCCAGTCCCAGCTTGGTTTGGTTTGGTTTGGTTTTGGTTTTCGTACCAGGCATTGAACTTGGGTCCTTGTGCTTGGGAGGCCGGCAGTGAAACCACTGAGCTAAATCCCCGGCCCCTGACTTACATATCGAGACCGTGTCTCAAACAACTATTTGGAGAAATGATTGCAGAGGGAGGGCGGGCTCAGAATCTAGAGGAGGCTTTTGGAAAGGGTGGCGCTGACTAGCATGATAGAGACGGAGTGAAACAAATTTGGAATAAGTTTAGAGGGAGTCAGTGGGTTGCTGATTAAAACAAATGTATTGCAGGTAGCGGGGCATGGTGGCGCACTCCTGTAATCCCAGCCCTTAGGAGGCTGAGGCAGGAGGATCGCTGCGAATTCGAGACCAGCCTGGGCTACATCGTGAGTTCCAGGTCAGTCTCAACTACAAAAAACAAACAAAAATGTATGGAAGGTAGGTGGTCAGAAGAAGAGATGGGATTTGATCAAGGAGACAAAGATGGAATTTAAGGGTGACAGGAGTAGGTTTGGAAGCCGAGGTGGTGAAAATGAGTTCCGTTTGCTGCTGTAGCATTTGAAATGTTTGCTGGGATCTTAAGAGGAAAGCTAAGGCAGTTAACTGGCCGCAAGAGGTCAGTGCTGAGCTGCAGACCCGGGGGTGGGGGTACATGCTCTTTAAAGCCGTGGAGGGAGTGCGAAGGTCACAGCTAGAGCAGGGCCCGCACTGGTCTCTGGGCTGGCGCTGGGGGCGGGCGGAGGGGAGCTGGGACAGGAGCGGAAGCGCAGCAGCTGAGCGGGAGGAGCTCCGCCGAGGGGCGGCGCTCAGGAGCTAACGGTGTGGCCGGCGGTGAAATGCTGGGCTCCCGAGTGAGGATGGGGAAGGAAGGGCCGTGGGTTTGGCAGCGAGGAGGGCATGGGATGAGGTGAAGGGAGCGCTTGAGATGCATCTGAGAGGCTGGTCGGAAATGGAGTTCTTTATGCCCCCAGCTGCCCTCCGCCCGCCTGGCCTCCCGCCCCTGGACCCAGTGGAAGCGGAGAGAGCTCAGAGTTTGCCTCCCCGTCCTGGCCAGAGTGGGCCAGCCTCCTCCCCGCTGCCCGTGGTCCCCTCCTGTGAGAGCCGCAGCTCTGTGGGTCTTTGCTGCCCGCAGCCGAGCCTTTTCCGGGCTGGGCTCTGACCGCCGTCCAGCGCGGTTCCCAGCCCCTCCACTACGCTCTTCCTAAAGCTTCCCTTTGAGCAGTGGCTGTGAGTACAGACTTGGTGTGGGCTGTGGGATGAGCGGGAAGGAGGGACAGGTACTGCCCGTGAGGCCCGAGGTGCGCTGGCCTCTCAGGAGGGTGGTCACCCGGCACTCAAAGCCAGGGACTGCCACTGAGGTGAGATGGCGCCGTTTGGGCGGCCCTTCCGGAGCCGATGCAGGGAGCCGATGAAGGGACGGAGCAGAGGCAATGCGGAGACGGTGCCGTCCAGACGCAGGGACGGCCTGGTCCCCCCAGCTCGGGGCTCGGCGGGAGACCGAGGTGCCTGGCCTCTTCGTCTTGTACTCGATTTTTGACAGGATAGGTATATTTTTTAGTTAGAATTATTATGTTCAATTCGATGATGGATTGTGTTTTTGTAATATATTCGTTGTTTTAGGTAATTCTGCATCTAGGTGAAGCATTTTCACTTGGAAATGCTTTGCTACTTATGTGGAAATGACCACGTTTTCCCCTTCTTTCCTAATGAATGGCATTAATGAATCATATTTATTCAATTTTGTATTCCTGGAAAGACTAGTTATTTTTCTAGATTCTCTATTGATTTTATTCAGGATTTTTATGCCTAAGTAAAATTGGCCTGAAGATTTCATTTCTATACATAAAATTTACTGTTGAGATGATCTCAGTGAGGGCTGGGGATTTAGCTCAGTGTCACTGCACCTACCTTGCAAGTGCAAGGTCCTGAGTTCGATCCCTGGTACCAAAAAAAAAAAAAAAAAAAAAAGGTTATATTAAGCTCATAAAATTATTGGGGAAGCACTACTTCTGCTTTCTGTAATCCTCATTTGTAGTAGCAATTATCTTCTCTCCCTATTTTTGTGTCAAAGTTTTGGTAAAACTTGCCTATAAAACCCAAGTGGACCTGGTATTTATTTTTGGAGGGGATACTGGTGCAGGGAAGAAACATTTAAAATTTTAATTTCTAATTTGATTTCATAAGTGGCTAGAGTCCTATTCATGTTTTCTGTGTCATCATGAATCAGCTTTTTATAGGAGACATTTTATATGAAATTATCCATTATGTCTCTTTTCAGTCACTAATATTGTTTATAGTATAGTTTTGTCTTTTCATTTCTGATTCTGTCCATTTGTAATTTTTACTTTTTGATTAATCTTGCAAATATTTGCTGCTTAGTAATCTTTTCAAAGAAAAAGATTTCAGTGTTGAACGTTTTATTTCATTTATTTTTGCTCCTTTTATTTTTTTATATTTTTTTGGTACCGGGGGTCAAACTCAGGACCTTGCATTTCGGAGGCAGGCACAGTACTGCTGAGCTAAATCCCCGGCCCTTTTGCTCTTCTTTTAAAAGACTTTATTCTTTTTAATTTATTGAATTGCTTACTTTACTATCACTATTTTTAATCTCTAATATATGCTTCTAAGATCATAAATGTCTATTGAAGTAATGTTGCTGTTTGTTTATTTATTTATTTATTTATTTATTGGTGGTACCGGGGATGGAACTCAGGACCTTGCATTTTCGAGGCAGGTGTAGTGCCACTGAGCTAAATCCTGGGCCTTGTTATTGTGTATTTAAAGCTATGTCCACAGATTTTTTTTGTACTGGGAATCAAACTCAGGACCACTCCGGGTGTGGTACCACTGAGCTATCCCTGGCCTTCACAACATTTTTTGATACTCTTCCTTTTAAGAGTTAGAGTATATAGTGGTATATTCAGGAGGCTGAGGCAAGTGGATTTCTGGGGTTCGAAGCTAGTCTGGTCTACATAGTGAGTTCAAGGCCATCCTGAACTACATACACAAACTATCTCAAATAAAAATAAATAAGTTTTTGAAAAGAGGGGCAGGGTTGGACATGGCTCAGTGGTAGAGAGTATGCTTAGCATGTTCAAGGCCTTGGGTTTGGTCTTAGAACAACAACAACAAAAAAAAACCAGAAGTATTGGTACATTTTAGGTATACAATATAATGACATTCATCACTGGAGGTTTGTACCTTTACATAATATACCTTGATTCTTTTTTCCCCTGTTTGACTGAAGTTTTGTTTTGTTTTTATTTTTTTTTTTTTTTTTTTTTTTTTTTGGTACCGGGGATCAAACTTGGGACCTTGCATTTGTGTGGCACGCAGCATAACCACTGAGCTAAATCCCCAGCCCTCCAGTTTAATTCCTTTTTTTCTTGAGTACAGACTGGATTTAGTGGCTGAATCACCATAGAATACTGTGTAGTGACTGTGAGAACCTAGAATCGTGGTCTGGCTTCGGGTGTTTCCAGCTGACCTCTCTGGGCTGCAGCCTCAGGAGAGACCCTTAGACAGAACTACCAGCTACACTGCTCCCAGATTCCTACCGGCAGAACCTGAGATAGCCCTTTTGTGTTTACTGAGGTAAGTGCTGAACTTGAGGTGACTGATGCAACTGCGCGTCTGTTAGACTCCTTGGCCTTTCCGTGTCTTTCCAGTTGTAATGTTTTAAATTTTATGAATAATGTCGGTGTGTTTGATAAATAACAGGCTTCTATATTATCTTTGGTTTTTAGTTTTATTGTGGTCAGAGATCATTGTCTACATGATTGATAAGACAGAAATGACTCCAACATCTTGTTTTATTTCAAAAGAGCTCTCAAGCTGGGGTGTAACTGCGTGGGGCCTGGGCTCCAGCCTCAGTGTCACAAATACAAGAGCACAAAAACTGTTCACTATGACTTTATTGTGCCGTTGTGCATAGAGAGAGCTAGTTTTTCAAAGCTCTAAGCAAGAAACTTTAAAGCACTTTTACCATCAGAAAACATTTATCTAAATATTATAATACAAGCACAGCTATCAACAAGAAAGAAAATTGTTTAATGAAGCAGGCACTTTGGATTAAAAACTTTTACCAGATTTTACAAAACATCATCAATATCCGGAGTGAATCTTAAAAGAGTCTTTTGTTACAGGCTTATGTTTCCAAGTCGCTACACAACCCTATAGGCAGAGCTGTGGTGTTCTTGATAACGCTCTGAGCTGGGCTCCTTATCAGAGCAGGAGAGAAGCTTCTGCTGCTTTCCCAGCCCTTCCATCAGCAGCTGCTATTGGGAGAGAGACGTTCCCCGCACTAAGTACAAGAACTTCACTAGTTAATAGCAGGAGAAAACCACAGGCTAGAAGCTTAAAAACTTAATACGCAGTAGAAGAAAATGGAAGAAAAGTTTAAACAGAATAGAAAGCATGTAGAGTTTTACTTTGCCAGCTTTTTTTTTTTGGTACCGGGGATTGAACCTGGGTCCTTGCGAGGCAGGCCACCAAACCGCTGAGCTAAATCCCTGGCCCATGCCAGCTTTATGTTTAAGTTTTGGTCATTTTTTTCTAAATGTTCCATGAAGGCTCAAAAGACTGTTTCCATTGTTAGGGTTCTGTATGATGTTAGGTGAATCTTATTTTATTATACAATATGTGCTGTCATTATTAGAAGAATTTTATTCCATGGTTCAAAAAGATAACTATTTCCCTCCATTTTAGTCAGTGTGGAAGAGGCAGAAGAATCACCGTAAGCCTGGGTCACACAGGCAGATGCTGTCCCAAGAAGTTAAAAAAAACAAAAAATAAAACCACTGTGCCAGCCTCATTTCATGCTTAGGTCTCATTTAAGTCTCACAATCCCAGAGAACAGGTACTTTATTTCTTTTCCATGCTAGAAGACCAAGATGAGGCATTCAGCAACTAGCTTCTGGGAGAGTGAGCGTTTGCACTCTCACTGGCCAACCTAGGGAACTGAGACCTGAACCAGGGGCCACTGGCCACACCAGCTGGCCCCAGGCAGGTATCAAGGATCAGACAGACACTGACCCGCCCATGCCTCACAGTCTGTCCCAAAGGTTAAGCTGAGTTGTCAGAAGCATTTCTCAGGGATTTGGACTTTGGGGAATGAGAATGTGACAAAGTTGTCGAAATAAGACTAACATAAAAAATCAAACAGTTCTTCTAGACCAGCAATGATGAAATACAGGTTAGAATTATAAAAATAATTTTAATGATAACGCAAACTATACTGGCACCTCAGTTCACAAACTTAATTCTTTCTACAATTCTGGTCGCAAACCAAATTGGATGAGAACCAAATCAAATTTCCCCATTAGGTCGACATTGAACCTGGCCATTGATTCAGTTCTCATCCACCTTGATTTGTGACCAGAATCATGGAAAAAATTAACTGAGGTACAACTGTATCATAGGCTCCCTCCAACACACAAACCTGAAGAACTAGTCTTCTTTTTGTCTTATAAAATATTCCAGATTCACAGCCAACTGCTCTACGTAGCTTAATAATAATGTGCCCACCACTCAACCCCATCAAACCGTTATGGGAGGAAATTGCAAGTGACACACGGAGAGGCAGCAGAATGGAAGTAAAATAACAAATTTACTCATCGACGAGGCTCGATCCCGCATAAGCAGTGCCTGGATCGATGACACACTGGGTCATAACTCCTTTTATAGGGTTTCACAGCCTTGACATCATTTGGGTGGTGACATTTCATTCTCACAGTTCACGTCATGGTCACAAGATAGGTAACTTTAACCCAGAGGTAGCAGTTCTTTGCAGTTGGGGAGTTTATCCTTAAGATCGCTCTGGCTATCTAACCTAGTGCACAGGAAGCAGGTGTTCAAGGTTGGGGATGAGGCCTGATGTCCCACTTCGTCGTCAGTGCCTCCGGTGTCTGTTAATTTTGAACTAAACAAAACAGATCGCTGTTAGAGTCAGATGTCATTTTACATTTCCCTAACATTTTATAGGTTTTTAGATTATTTACAAAAGTTCTCTATCAAAACCTTACCTCTGTACACATGTAATTTAATATCAGTACACTTTGAGACCCAATCCAAAAATGGGCATCTGAAATGAATAGACATTTCAGAGATGAAGAAGTACAAATAGCAAATAAAAACATGAAATGTTCAACATCACTGGCCATTTAAGAGATGCAAATGAAAACAACACCGAGATTCCATCTCACCCCAGAAAGAATGGCCGCTATCAAGAAATCCTACCAGTAACAAATGCTGGTGGGGCTGTGGGCAAAAATTTACACCTACTGTTGCTGGGAGTGTAAATTAGTACACCCAGTATGGAAATCAGTATGGAAACTCAGGAAAAAACCAAAAACAAAGCAACCTATTCTACTTCTTGGTGTCTTTCCAAAAGATTTAAAAGCATCACACCACAGTGATATATGTGCACCATGTGTATAGCAGCACAGTTTGTGGTAGCTAAATCTTGGAAACAGCCTAAATCCCCATCAATGGATGAATGATAAAGAAAATGGTTTTCATATACAGTGGAGCTCTGCTCTGCCATGAAGGATAGACTTGAGACATTTTTAGGTAGATGGATGCGCCTTGAGGCCACACTTTTAAGTGAGAGAAATCAGGTACACATGTTTAAATATTGCATTGTTTCTCTGGTGTGAGAAACCAAAAGGATTAGTAAAGACTAAAATGGAGGACAGATACCGGGCACAGGAGTAAAATGTTCAAACGGGAAGGGGAAAGGGGAGGAGAGAGGGGGAAGGGAAGGAAGGGAAGAGGAATAAGAAGAACAGAGGGAAAAATGGAAACAAAGCTTTTGTCAATAAGGCATTGCTTCTGCACCTTTGTGCTAAGATCCAGTGTAAATGAGGAGGGGAGCTGTTGAAGGGAGTGGAGGGCAGGGGAGAAGAAAAGGAATCAGGACGTATCCTGTACAGGTGAACGTTGCTACATGTACGGAGATGTACCCATTAATGTCTGAAAAGAAAAATGTGAGTATTAAGTCCTCCACGTACCCGCTTTCTGATCACATTTCCCTCCTCCATTTCCTAACCATAACCAGAACATCTAACCCTTGGCTGAATTTGGTGTTTAGCATTCCTTTGCTTGTTTTTATGGTACCATCATATGTGTATGTTCCCGTAAATAATACGGAAGTTTGTTTTGCATGTTTTCAAACTTTTAAAAATAGAACGATATACAGTTTTAATTTGTATCAGTCTGTGCGGCACACAACATCTGCTCTCCTGGTATGGAGCGGGTGCGCATCTCGCATCTGTGCTCCTGTTTTCGTTCCCCTCCATCTCGATTCCCTTTCCGTTTGACAAAGGTCTCTCTCGCTACTTCCTGTTATCTCTCTCGCTCTCTTTTTTTTTGTACCGGGGATTGAACTCAGGACCTTGTGCTCGTGAAGCAGGTCCTATTTTCTGTCTTTTATTTTGCGCATTGTAATTTGGGTTCCTCATATTTAAAGAATGCTCTATTTAAGCTTGTGTGTCTGATGTATTTTACTTAACATTACGGTCCCAAGGTGCATCCATTGTCCTACAAATGGCTTGTCTGTCTGTCTTTATGGCAGAAGAGTGCTCCATTGTGTGTAATGCCACATTTTCTTTATCCATCCATCTGTTGATGGACAGATAGGCTGCCTCCAAGACTTAGGTATTACAAACTGTGCTGCTACTGTAAACATTGCTGTGTATGTATCACTGTTATGTGTCTTTAACTCTTTAGAAAAGACAACACAGGGAGAATAGCTGGGCAACTTGATTTTTTAGTTGTGCGATGGGATGCTTTTGAAATTTACACCTGCAGATGCATGTAGCTGTAGCTGTGATTCGTTCATTTCAAATGTTGCGTAGTGGTATATTTTATGAATATACTAGTATTGGTTATCCTGTAATAGAAGCTATGGTGTACCAAACTATTTTCAGTTGTGCTTCATTGTACAAATTTCTTTAAAAGGTGGGCTGGGGATATAGCTCAGTGGCACAGCACCTGCCTGGCACGCTTGAGGTCCTGAGTTCCATCCCTAGTACCAAAATTTTTTTTAATTAAAAATAAATAAAAGGAGAAGTACTGGGCCAAATAGTTATTAGATGTTGCTAGATTTCTCTGTGAAGAAAATTTGAAATTTCCATATTCAAATTCCAAAGTCAAAAGGCATAAAACTAAATCTAGCCAGAGAGGGACTTTTTTTTTTTTTTTTTTTTGAGACAGGGTCTCACTATGTAGTTGAGTGAGACTGACCTGGAACTCACTATGTAGCCCAGGCTGGTCTCAAACTCACAACGATCCTCCTGCCTCAGCCTCCCAAGTGCTGGGATTACAGGCGTGCGCCACCACGCCTGGCAAGAGGGACATTTTTATGGAAAGGATAACAATGTTAAAATTCTCCACTTCCTCCAGTCCTTCCCAAATTCAATAAAATTTGCATCAGTGTAACAAGTTAAAAGAGCACCTGGGTTTTTTCAGTTTTTGTTTTTTTTCAGAAACAAATTGATTCTAAATTTATATAGAAACATAAAGATCTACAAATAGCTATGATAAATTTGAGAAAGGAGCAAAGAAGGTAGCACTGCTTGACAACATTAAAGTGGATTACAGGGTCAGAACACTAAAAAGACACCTTGATTCAGGAAAGACAAATGGACAAAGAGAACAGAAGACTCAAAAAGCACTTGTATTCATGGGAAATTGGTGCAGTAAAGTGGAGCCGCCCATCAAGGAGGGTACGACGGAGTGGACTGTTTAAGGAGTAGGGATGGAAAAGCTGGTTGGATATATGGGAAAAGTACACAGGTTTCTTTCTTCACACCCGATAAAGACATTCATCTGGACAATAAATCTATGAAACCAGCAGGAACACATACATGTAAATGAACATATTTATAATCTTGTGATGGTGAAAAAGGCCTTAAAAGCACGAACTAAAAAGTGAAAAACTTATGAAATTAATTATCCAAATTCAAAAATTCTAATGAGCAGTATCATAGTCATTGGTAATAAACGAGGTTTTTTAAGACTAAAATGATCAAGAGCTTAATATTTATCTATATTATTCAAGAAATCCCTGTCAGGTGTGGTGGCACACACTTGTGATCCCAGCACTCGGGAGGCTGAGGCAGGAGGATTGCTGTGAGTTTGAGACCAGCCTGTACTACATAGTGAGTTCCAGGTCAGTTTCAACTACATAGTGAGACCCTGTCTCAAAAAGAAGAACAACCCCCCCACAAAAAAACAACCAAAGACATCCCTGAAAATTAGCAAAAGAAAAACTAAAAAATGGGGCCAGGGATTTAGCTCAGTGGTGCTGTCGCCTACCTCACAAGTGAAAAGTTCTGAGTTTGATCCAAGAAAAAAAATATATGTCAGTGAAAAACTGAAAGATAGGTAAAAGTTATATGGAGAGAAAATTCTGAAGAGATGCTCAAAAAAAAACAACCAAAGACATCCCTGAAAATTAGCAAAAGAAAAACTAAAAAATGGGGCCAGGGATTTAGCTCAGTGGTGCTGTCGCCTACCTCACAAGTGAAAAGTTCTGAGTTTGATCCAAGAAAAAAAATATATGTCAGTGAAAAACTGAAAGATAGGTAAAAGTTATATGGAGAGAAAATTCTGAAGAGATGCTCAACCCTTCAGGTAATGAGGAAAAGTAAAAAATAAAACAATAACAATACCACTTTATGGTTATCAGGCTTCCAATTTTTTGTGTAATTTTCAAACAAAAAGTAGAGCTATGCATGTTTTAACTTGATTTTTGGTATAGTGCCAATTGGCATGGGGCCGGTGAGGGGAGGGATCTCCGTGGCCCTCTGGTAGAAGCGTAGGTGGAGATCACCGTTCTGGGAGTAATGTGGTGGTATTTTAGGAAATTATTTGTGCAAATATGGCCACCTAGTCTTGGAATTTATCTTAGGCCCTTACACAGGTTCAAAAGAGAATGCTGTAGTTACGAGGGTGTTGGTCACAGTGTGCGTGGCTGTCATTGGCAGATGGAGGTAATCTAGATGTCTGACACCACAGACCACACAGTATATGTGATGGAGCTCTGCTATAGAGTGTGATCAGCAGTTAGAAGCCGTAAACTAGGTGTATATACAGCAATATGGCTGGATCCCAAAGCTGTGGTACAGGGTTTTTTCTTTTTAAAAGCATAAGACACAGAACTAGTACTATGATGCACTCAAGGATCCCTGTGTATGCAACACGAAAAAGCCTTCCATAGTGGCTGCCTGCGGAGGAGAAGACAGAGTAAGAACTGGAGATAAAGGAGAAACAAATAAAACGAGAACTTGCATGGACACATATTGGTTGTGAACCAAGAGCTGAGTATAACCGAGTCAATTCTTTTTACTGGACGTCCAAGAAAAGAACTTAGTGCGAGGGAAAATAAAGGACTTGAGTTAAACCAGCAAGCCTACACCTAGACAGAATGGGTTCCAAGGCAGAGCAAGCAAGTGGGGCAGAGGGACAACCCATCTGCCGCAGCTCTGGTGCTCAGTAACTCCATTTTGCAATACAGCCTTCCCTTCCACCACGGCCTGTACTGTCTTGCCTTCCCAGCAGCCATCTGATCTTTTGACCTCACACCGGTTTTCCAGGGCTTCTCTATCCTGCATCTACAAACCTTTTCAAACTCCTCCCACAAGCCAGTTCTTAAAGCTTCTGAACCACATGTATAATCACAGCAAAGTCCCCACCCCGTGTAGCCCTCACGATCATCTTGCTGGGACAAAATACCCAACACCCACAACTTAACAGGCAAGAGGTTTATTTGACCAGTGGTTTTGGAGGATCTGATCCATGCGTAGCGGACTAACTCCAAGATGAAAACATGGCAAAGAGCTTGGTGGAAAAAAGACCAAAAAACGAACAGAAGAAAGGGAGGAGCCCCAAACTAAAACACACCCTTCCATCGAACCAGCCCTTCTAAGCAGGCCCCACCTCCCAAAGACACATTTAGCAACTAAACCATCAACAGATCACCCCACTCAGGATTAACCCACTCCCGCAATGCCCCACCGTACATCACAGAAATGACTTGCGCACTTTTGGGGCTCTTCCTCCTCCTCCAGGATCCCCCCAGCCCAGGACAGGGACCTTTGGGCACATGCAACACCCACACTAAGGCCCGCTGCCGTCGTGGGTAGATGAGGCAAGTGAGATGCGGAGGTCTGCACCTCCCTTCATTTGCGGTTTCTCTGCAAGTCTGGAGAGAGGACACGGAGGGCGCCCGGTGTACCCGGGGCTGAGGAAACGGCCCCCGCCCTGCACAGGGGAGCGCACCGCCGGATGTGTGTCACAATTAAAAAGGCAACTGTAAAAGTTAGTGCAAGCCCCATAAAGTCCCGCTTTCCCGATTATGTTAAAGCTTTTGGGAGCTTTTTAGTTCGTTTTTCCTCCAAATCCAGTGGCGCACGGCTGGGGTGCTGTCCCGGCACGGTGACCCGGCGGTTACCCCACCTGCCACGGCCCGGCTCAGCTTTCCAAGGCGCGGCGCGGGTGGCGCCCCCTGGAGGATGGAGGGCGCCGCCCGCAGAGCCCGGAGCGGGCTCAGTTTCCCCGCCTGCTCCTCTATCTGGCCGCCAGGGGGCGCGGAAGGGTATGGGGCTCCAAGCCGGAGTCCAGAGGGAAAGGGTCCGGGCTCTCCCGACCCACCCACCCGGACCTGCACTCGAGCCGGTCCGCGGGGAGTTTTCAGCGTACCGAGTTCGAGAAGCGCTGATCTAGGAAGTGGAGCTCGTGGAAACCGTTTTTAAGTTAAGCAGCAACTTAAAAGTAAACGCTATTTTTGGGAAACGACAATATTTGTTCTAATTAATCCAGCGCAGTGCTGGGGAAAACAAGGATTTAATAGACGTTTTGAATGAAAAACAACTATACTAGTAAGTAACATTTCCTGAGCACTCACTATGCGCAGGTACGACGCCAGCTCTTTTAATGCACGTGCTTATTTAACGCTCATTTTATTCTTTCCGGTTTAGATGTGCGATGAAGAGCTTCAGGACCTGCCAGCGTCTCAGCGCGAGCCATCAGAGGGACGCAGAGAATCGGGCTTCAGATGCATTTCATTCCCCTCGCCCGGAAAACGAGACCCGGCTGGAAAGTAATCAGCCTTGAAAACAGAGATCAAGAGCGTCAGCCCCATCGGCTGTGCTACTTCCGGAGCCTCCATTGGCGGCTGCGGACTCGACGGACGACCGAAGAGAGGCCCCGAAG